ACACGCCCTGTGTCACAGTCCCACTGAAAGCGGTCAGGGGAGGAACCTGGCGGCAGGAGCCGATGCTGAGGCCCTAGGGGAGCACTGATTTCTGGCTTGCTGCATGGCTTACTCAGTCTGCTTTCTTTTTTCTTTTTGGTTTTTCAAGACAGGGTTGCTGTGGCTGTCCTGGAACTCACAGAGATCAAGGGGGATTAAAGGCATGCACCACCACTGCCCTGTGCAGACTGCTTTTTTGTGTTTCTTTTTTTAATAATTTATTTTTATTTTATGTTTATTAGTATTTTGCTTGCATATATGTCTGTGTGAGGGTGTCAGATTCTCTGGAACTGGAGTTATAGACAGGTGTGAGCTGCCATGTGGGTGCTGGGAATTGAACCCAGGTCCTCTGGAAGAACAGCCAGTGCTCTTAATCACTGAGCCATCTCTCCAGCCCCTCTGCCTACTTTCTTGAACAATTCAGGACCACCTGCCCAGAGGGGGCGCCACCCACAGTGGGCTGGGTCCTCTCATATTGTCAATCAATAAAATGTCCCACAAACTTGACTACAGGCCAATCTGATGGAGGGTTTTTTCTCAGTTGAGCTTTCCCCTTCCTAGGTGGCCCTAGCTTGTGCCAGGCCAGGTTGACAAAAAGCTAACCAGTGTATCAAGGTGCATGCATCAGTAAAAGACAGATTAATAAGAGAAAAAAAGCATACAAATTTCATTTAATATCACCACTTTCGTCTGTAGGTGCCCAGAGACCTCTGTTAAAAAGAAACAAAGACTCAAAAGAAGTGATTGACCTGGTGTGTGTAGGAGGAGGTCTGTGTGTCACTTTAGCAAAGGCTAGAAATTACAGGAAGTCACGAGACTAAGAGAGATGAGCGTGGGAGGGAGAGGGGTGGGGTGGGGACTTGTTGGTGCAGACCCTGCTCAGGTGCGTGACTGGAGGGAAAGCTTTGTCCCCTCAGCTGGTGAGGGAGAGAGAAGACTGCAGAGGAGTGGAAGGCTTGGAGCTTTTCCCGTGTTGTTGTTGTTGTTGTTTTTTCCTTATCAGTGCAAAGTAGTCCTTTTGCTCAGGTGGCATGTTTTAGGTGGTTCACTCCGATTTCTGTCAATATTTTTAAAAGGAATTTTTGCTGTACTACCTTCAAAACTGTATAGAGACCCTAGCAGAGAACACTGTTGCCTATAACACTGGCAGATTTGCTGGGAAAGCACACAAATGTAACCCTCCGGGCAGGAATGAAGATACCTAAAGATAGACACTCCCTCCCCTTGGCTATCTGGCTATCAGACTATCGAGATAATGATCCCCAAGCAACTCCCCAGGAATCTCACAGTGAGAGAAGGAAAAGGTTGGAGCCTGGTGCCAGCTGATGAAGAACTTGTCTCTCTCTCTAGGTTTCCAGAAGATGACCCCCTCCCCATAGACCCTCAGGGTTTATGGCAGCTTAAGTATTTCTCATCAGGCCCAATCAGAGGCAAGCATACATCCTTATGTACTTCCAGCCTACATCCAATCAGGGGCAAGCTGTAGTTTGATTCTTTCTGTCCTGCCTGTCAGTTCACGTAGCTGCTTAGGAAATAACACTTTGAGGCTTAATATCAACTACAATTGTTTGGCCGATGGCTCAGACATATTATTGGCTAGCTCTCTCTCATAAATGAACCCATTTCTATTAATCTATGTGTTACCATGAGGCCGTGGCTTACTGATAATGTTCCTGTATGTTACTCCTTCGGTGGCTACATGGCATCTCCCTGACTCTGTCTCCCTTTTCTCTGTATCTTTATTTGGATTTCCTGGCTCTATTCTGTATGGCCATTGGCCAAAACAGCTTTATTTATCAACCAATAAAAGCAACATATTTTGGCAGCATACAGAAGGACATGCCGCATCAGTGAGTGTACACCCTGACACACTTCTGCCTGTGAACCTGCTGTCCACATGCCATCAAGCACATCTGGTGCAGAAGAGTCCAATAAATATAGGGGAATGAAAACCATGTGACTTGTTATCTACCATAAGCAATGCCTCCAGCATTTCAGGGACTATCTGTCCTTAGGCAAGGGGCTTGTAGATCAGAGACATTTTTGTGTCATGGATCTCTAAGGCATAGTAATTAAAACTTAAAATGTTACTTTGGCTCTCACACTAAGCAAGTGAGGCCGAAGCCACAAGACAGTTGCACAAGTGGTACTCCCTTACTCTCACAAGCTTTGTAATATTAGGAGCAACTCAGCAAGGAGCCTCCTAATCTACAGAAACCTATAGGAGTGTCTTGGAGAGGAGAACGCATTCTTGTAAGAGCTGGGATTCGATGCCTGCCCTAGGCACTTCTCTGTCTGGCTTCCACACGGTTGTTCCCGCCAGGTTCCTGGCGCCCTCCAGGAAGTTTCCCTCTGATTAGATGAGATTTTTATGTTTATAGCAATTTCCTACTCAGCAGCCTTGCACGATCGTTAACCTAGAGCATCCCCCAAGCTCTTCTCCAGGGTTCTCTTCTTGAGAATGTTTTTGGTATGCATCCTTTATGACTATCTCTGTGTACACAGGCAGACCTGTGCCCTGTGAGTTCTCGTCTACAGATTAAACCAATCATAGGACTGAACTATTCAGAAAGAAACAAAGTTCGTGGAGCTAGACAGATGGCCGTAGTTCAGAACACTGGCTGCTCTTTAGAGGCCTGGGGTTCAGTTCCCATTGTCCACATGGCAGGTACCAACATCTTGACTCCAGCTCCAGGGCATCTTCTGCCCTCTTCTGGCATCCTCTCTCACTGCACACACATGGCTCACATATGTGCAGGCAGGCAAACACTCATGTACACAAATAAATAAAAACAAAAACAAAAACAAAAACACATCTCTTTAAAAATTGCTTCCAGGGCCTGAGGAGATGGCTCAGTGGTTAAGAACACTTGACTGCTCTTCTAGAGGATCCAGAGGATCCAGAATGCACCCACATGGTTGGCACACAACTGTCTGTCTCTAACTCCAGTTCCAGGGAATCTGACCCTCATCTGGTCTCTGTGGGCGCTGCACACATGTGGTGCACAGATACACATGCACGCAAATACTCATACACATAAAATAAATTCAAAAGATTCAAGTTAAAAATATGTATAAACTAAACACTGCAGACTTCTTTCCTGTGTCATTATCTCCTAATCAACACAGTCAATATACACAGCCTTCATATTTCATGTGGCAGAAACACTTTATAGATTTGAAGTATCCAGGGTGTATGGGCAGGCTATATGAGCAAATGTTATATGCTTTATACAAGAGAACGGATAGCTCCAGATTTTGTAGGTAGCTCGTATCCTGGAGCCAGTCCCCTGTAGATACAGAGGGTGAATATAAACATGTCATGTTAGACGTCATGTCTCTCATCCCTAAGTCCTCAACTGCATTTCACTGAGGACCAGGCAGGGTATCTGAGGCAGAGTCAACTTCAAAGTGCCCCTAAAAGCCTCTGAGCTGCCCGACCTGCTGGGTCTCTGAGTTCTCTCCAGCTCTGGGTCTCTGTATCTCTTTCGTGGTCTTCTTCAGTTCCCGGTGGGGCAGCTTCCTCCAGTCCTATGTCTCTCCATAGTCTCTGGTCTTAGCCTCTTCCAGCAGGAAGCCAGGAACTAGCCATAGAATTATCAATATCCTACGTCCCTTGAGGACAATAATGGGATTCTTTGTGTCCTTGCACTCCTAATGGGACACCTAACAGCAAACAAGCCATCGCCCCATGCTGTAACTGGCTCCCCACACAGAGCTCTCCAAGTGGGGCCCTCCCTGAGCCTTGAATTCACCCTTCACTAGTCATGTTCCCTTTGCCTCTGCCTTCCTGCTGCCCTCTTCTCCAAGCTTTGATTGGTTCTCAGAGGTCACTTTGTCTTGACGCTTAGACTCACCTCACCCACTGGATCTCTACCTGATTGTGGGTGGCCTCTGAACTGTCCCTTCTCTTAAGCCTTTTGGGGAAACACTTGATATCCAGAAACCATGACACACAAGCTAGGTTTCAGGATAGTCACTTCCCCGCCTTGGCCTGTTTCCTTTATCGGCTTTGTGTTTTATCAACACCCAGGCATGACTGGGAAAAGGCAGACTTAGGGATGAAAGCCACACCTCTCTACTGTCTACCTCTCAAGGCTAATCCCACTGTCCCCTCATTGTGTCCCCACTGTAAGTCATCTTTACTTACTCTGTGTGTACACTGAAAGCCAAGAAGCAAATCGGGAGAGATTGGATTTGCTCCTGAAAGTGACGGTTCCCATCACTGTGTCATGTCACGGAGTCACCTCAGTGACTGTTACGCTGGCCAAGCTGTGAGCCACTCTCAGCCACTGCCAGATGCCAGCAGAGTCTGGAAGCCTATGAGGATGCTTTCACAGGCTATCAGGCATCTGTACTGGCCTGTTTGGGATTCTAACAGGGTGCGCCCTCAGCTGCAGCCACTAAGAGCACCACCTGTGCACATTCACTGTGTTCCTCTTTAAAGGGGCCCCGCCCACCTCCTATCTCTCTCTCCTGTCTCCAGAAGCTGGTCTTGCCCCTCCCTTCCCCCCTTTTCATGTTCCCCTAAAAAACAAAACAAAACAAAAAAACTCTCCACATGAGCCCTGTCAAATGGCATCTTTCTCTTGAATGCCACTTTTTATTTTATTTTATTTATTTATTTATTTTTGTTTTGTTTTGTTTTGAGACAGGGTTTCTCTGTATTGTTTTGGAGCCTGCTCCTGGAAATTGCTAGGTAGAACAGGCTGGCTTCAAACTCACAGAGATCTGCCTGCCTCTGCCTCCTGAGTGCTGGGATTAAAGGCGTGCCCATCAACGACCGGCACATGCCACTTTTTAAATTACAACAACTTGGCCTCTTGAAGTTCTACATTCTGGATTTCTCCACAGCCAAAACCACACTTTTCTCCTTGACAGCCACACAGAGCATACTCAACTCCTCCCCACCCACATATCTGTGCGTCTCCCAGGCCTCTCTTAAGTTCTCGACACTCAGCAATGGACAATGGAAGCCATGTTCTCAGGAACACAGTCTCAGGGCACATTAGAGAAAATAACTCAGAAAGAGGCAGGAAGAGGAAGGAAACAAAATGGGGACTTGAGAGCTATGTGTTGGGTGGCCCTTGTCTGTAAGCCCAGGAACTCGGGAGGCCCAGAGGGCAGGATCACAAGTTCAAGGCTGGGTTAGGGAAGGCCTCTTCTAAAAGTGGGAGTGAGATGGAGAAAGGAACTCAAAAGAAGGGACATCCATGGCAAGATCTTGGGGGAGCCTTTTCCCAACGGAGAGAACCAACCCTGGGACAAGCTTGGAGCACCGGAGGATCCTAACAGCAGCCAGTGTGGCCAGGTGCAGAGCATGAGAAGCAGGTGAGGACCAGGTACCTGAGGACCACCAGAGCATGGCGTGGGCTCTGCCCTAGTGATGACGGTGATGACAGTGTGTGTGGTATAAGCTCACGAGCTATGAACTGGGCCTCGATGCAGCTGTATCTATGTTGTTCGGATTCTTTCCTACTTGCTGTGCGGAAAGAGAGCTTTAGCTGCCAAAGAAGTGCTGGGAAAACAGTTAGAGGCTTTTGGAATGGTCTGCAGAGCTGCTAGAAGCTTTGGCTAGGAGACGGTGTCAGAGGAGAGATGGAGGCACCAGGCCCGGCCAAACACGTTTCTTCTCTTTTGCTGCCATCTCCTGTGCACTTATAATTACTCATCACTGCATCCTTTGAAGCAAAGAACTGGAGACATGACCTCTTCCCAGAGTGCACTGCTCTTCAGTATGGTCTTCTCACCTCCCGCCCCCTGCAGAAGCTTATCTCAGCTTCGTAGATTATATCCATGGTGGGCTCTTACTACGGTTTCAGCAGTAACCACGGCAGTGTCATCCGTATCCTCACCTCCACGGATCTCAGGCTCTTTGGAGAGATAGGAAGAAACAAAGACACAAATTAATCTGAAGGACCCCTGTACAGGAGAGGTGCGGAGTGCCCAGAGGACACACACAAGAGTCTCTGACCTGTCCAAGAGCAGGGCTTGAGAGGGTCAGTTTTACTTGAAATTGACAGTTTATATTGAGGAGCGGAGACTCAACTTTGAAATCTCTCCAAGGGGCTCACAGGGAGTCAGATGAATCTTTCATACAAGTCACTGTGGCCTTGATACCCCTTGAGGGTCAGGAGGAGAAGAGAGAGAGAGAAGAGAGAGAGGAGAAGAGAGAGAAGGGCCAAGACTCATGAGGTAGAACATACCAACCGCTTCATTTATCCACAAGCAAAAATTTCAGGAAAACACAGTTTCCCAAAGCCTACTGACATCCAGTGTGTTATTACTTGTTGTTGTGATGAGATACCTAACCGAGGCAGGGTCTGTCAGCTCAAAGCTTGAGGTGTGGGGGAGCCGCCGGGACTTCCTTCCTCCATCTTGGAGGAAGGCAGAGAAAGGGCCAGGAATGGAGCCAGGCTTAGAACACTCAACGACCACCCCCAGTGAGTCACTTCCTCCAGAGCCTCTGGGGATGATAGCTCACATTAAAAACACAATATTCAATAAAAAGGGGGTTTTTCTGTCTCT